TTGGATACTTTCAAAATATCTAACGGAAGATTAAGCCGTGCTTTAAATTCTGAAACACCTGGAATGGATGGTCGTGGCAAAATGGCTAGTTCATCTAGAAAAACAGATGAAGAAAAAATTAAAGTAGTACGAGRTCATATTCTGAGTTTTCCAGCATGTGAGAGCCATTACACGCGATCACATCACACTTCAGGTCGAAARTATCTAAGTGCTGACTTAGATATTCGAAAAATGTATGGGCTGTATGTGGAAAAATGTGATGAAAATAATACATCATGTGTAAAGGAGTGTACTTATAGAAAAATATTTAATACTGAGTTCAACCTAAATTTTCACACTCCTCGTAAAGACACGTGCCAAAAGTGTGATTCGATAAAACTAAAAATTGAAGCATCCAGTAATGAAGACGAGAAGTTGCATCTTATGGAAATTTACATCTTAAAAAAAACAGTTTAACAGATGACATACAAAAAACAAAAGATAACCCGTGTGAAAATTACGGATTCACATTTGACCTACAGAAAGCGCTTCCGTATCCAAAACTTTCTGTTTCGGTAGCTTACTATAAGCGCAACATGTATGTATACAATTTAGGGTTTCATAATTTCCACAATGGAAATGCTAAAATGTATGCATGGGATGAAACAATCGCCTCAAGAGGATCACAGGAAGTTGCGTCCTGCATCTTAAAGCACATTCGGAACATTACCACTCAAAAGCATATAATAGCTTACAGTGATGCCTGCTCAGGACAAAATCGAAACATTAACATAGCTTTAATATGGTTAAAAATTGTTCAGTCATCTGATAACAATGTTGAAACAATTGATCATAAATTTATGGTATCCGGCCATTCTTTTTTGTCAATGATCGCGATTTTGGTTTGATAAAAACAAAAATTAAAAAATTGAATTATTTATATGTCCCTGAGCATTATTATAATTTAATAAAATCATCTAAGATGAGAAACCCATTTTCGGTAGTACAAATGTACAAAATGAATAATTTACTTAGTCACAATGAAATGAGTTTGAATAAAATGTTAACTACTAATAAAATTGTTTCATTGGTGGTATAAGTCATTTATAAAGTCATGCAGTTAATTTTGAAAGTGGTACAAGTCATTTAAACCTTTCAAAACCATATTTTCTTTTAAAAATGGCTATAAATTTCACAATCATAATAAATACTTGTTTGTTGGGACAACTTTACTGTTCATTCACTAATTCATAATGCAAGAATATTTTTTAATCCTTTAAAATGCAAAACTCTAAATATCTCGAAACAAAAAAAATATGACTTATACCACTTTCAAAATCATGGGCTCATGTGGGCAAATTCCATGTGGTTGAACAAACGCAGATCCAGTTCTTGCCAGTATTACACAAAACGAATTATTTAAATTAACTTGGACATTAATCTATTGGATTTTCTTGATCGAAAGTATTAACTGTAGAACACATGTCCGGTCACGGTCAAATTATGTAGGAGCCCAATAATAAATTAATGTCCAGTTAACAAATTGATTTTTATTTAATTTTAAGTTTCCATTAATTTTCTTTTYAACTTAACACTCCTAATAAGGTCTTAATATTATGCTAGCACCAGTTTTTACCCCTTATTGTGCTTAATTTTCTCATTAGCTATGTAAGCTTGTGGGTATATGCTTATGAGGGCGTAGGTATAAAATACGTATGTTTGTGCGTATGTATATACATATGTACCTGCTTGCAAAAGAGAACATACAAAAAATGCAATTAAGTAGAAATTATAGAAACCCGTAACGGGTGTAAGAATTGATGTGCATATGCAAGTTAACTTATTTTAAGTTTTTATTTAAACAGTTTGTTACAACTGTACAAAAATGCTTGTTTAACTTAATTTCTAAGTTGTTGGAGCGATGTCCAACCAACTTAAAGAACAAYCGAATTAAAAGTGAAACTTAAATCTAAGCTTATGCTATCACCAACTTAATATTCTAAGCGCCGGCAGAGCGAGACGTCGGCAGCGACGCGTATTGTTAGTGGCGTGCTGGTAACGTCATTAAAGTCCGTAATATTCGTTTGGCGCTCTTTTAGTGGGTAGCGGTAAAGTGGCGTGATGCGTTTGCCAAATTGTGTACCTGCATTCCTGAGCATTCTTAAGCTTACATGGTACACTGGATAACAAAATATTTATTTTGTTAACTTGCATAAGCGGCGCTCTCACAAATGTGAATAGCATAATTCATGGTTACCATCATCCGATTTTACACAGTGACCTGCTTCTGACCAAACAGCATCCATGTCTACTAAGTATTTGGGTCAGATGGAAATCTAAGTCGACGGGTCCAGCGCCCTTTGGATGAGGAGTTCCACCGCTCCTGCCACATTTTAGTACTCTTGTTTCTCTCCTATGTTCTTGCCGATACTGTTTTAGGCGTTGGTAATTGATATAAACGCTCGAGTTCATCTCCCTGGATGTCAATGGGTGGCATGCTGGCTAATTCAGCTTCAGGCTTCAGCAGYGTCGGTTGATATAGTCCGGAAAGCACTTATTACCCGAATTGCAGAAATCCTATGCACTGCAATTATTTGTTAAGCATACGCTTTTATATACAGTATTACGGAATTCATTGCTTTCGCTATTAAGAATTGCCGGCTGGAACGCACACAGCCTCTATTGGTCATCATAGAATAGAATAGAATATTATTTGAGGTAATGCACCGCGACCTAAGGTCTATTGTGCCCTTGGTGAGCTCTATTCGCTCTTCTATCTTCCTAGTGCTTATGAGTAGAACTTYTGTTTTTTCCTCCGCCAGTTTCAGACTCACAGAAGAGAACCATCGGCGTAGACTATTTAAGCACTCGTTACATATCCTGCTTCATCTGTTGTGAATGTATGTGCGTGGTACGACCATCATCTAACAAAGTTGAGAAAAAGTTCTATCGTTATTTAAGATGAGTTCCCACTACAAAAATATGATGCCAGTCCCAAATGTCCTATATTGACTCGCCTTTAAATCAATCTGTATGTGTCTTATAYTTTTTCTGCACGAGAACAGCCTAGTATTCATAACTTTTGTACATATTAAAATATTCATATTTGTATGTACACATTTATTTAATTATAATTATATTGTTACACATTATGCGATCATGTTATTTAGCACTTTTTTATATCTTTACATAAACTTATAAAATAACTAAACGTGTATTTTTATTTGCAGCTAGAATGCGGCGAAGATGATCGAGACTCCGCCAATAGGGTGCGTAGGCGCAGTATTTTTTAAGCTTCTTCGTGTTTTATATGTTTATTAATTATAAAAATTCATAATTTTCAAGTGATATTATTTCAATTCTTGCTTATTAAACGTATTGTATATAACCTTACTTATTGTGAAATACATATATCAATACATCTGTAAATATATCGTTTTTCTCAAACTATTTGCAGTGTTGTCTTAAAGAGCCCGAGTGCATTTTGCAAAATGTAAGTATATTAATCGCACTTCAAAATAGCGAACAGATTACAAATTATGCATTTTCAGGTTATATTTGATCCGTCTGATGCTGGGGTGAGTGACATATTTGATAATTTTTATATTATATTATATATAAGTATATGTATATCAACAGATAATTTAAGAAACATTTATCAATTGAGAACAAATAGAGGCTCAATTAATTTATCTTTATAAAGTAATAACATTAAAGAGTTTAAATCACTTTTGTGGGAAAAATGTGGCTCTTTTTTTTATTAATAAAATGTCGAGTTCCGTTTAACCAGTTTTGACTTTACTTTTTCATTCAATAGATAGACTGCAAAGTTTATATTATTTCTATGAGAAGGATCCACTCTTTCTATATATTTATTTTATTTCCGTCGACTTGACAACGATGTCCGCTGTAAACTCCAAAGCTACTGAACCACACCGTATAAAGTTTGATCCAATTTAAAAGAAATGATAATTAATTCCTTTAATATCTCAATAATGTTAAAAGTAAAACAAATCCTTAATAAAAAAACATACGTGTATATATATTTCAGAGCATAAACATTCATTCAAAACTAAAAAAGAATTATTATTATTATAATTTTTGATAAAATGACGAATGGGATTTTCATTTTTTTCAAAACTAAACCTCAAGTACAATCCCAAGGATTTGTATACCGTCAATAATGTTTTCGCATTTCTCCGTAAATAAAATGTCTACTACACTGAATTGCTTATTATAATACCATAAAATGGAATACATGGTAAAAAATCCTGACGTTATTGAACCAACATCATCATAAATACTGTCAGACGAATGTCAAAAACAAAAATATATTATTCATGTTATGGCTTTTTTTAGTTTCTTCGATTATTTTATTTATGTCCATTAAGAGATCTAATTTCAAAATAATTTCGATATCTAAAAAACTAAAATTTCTCCAATATTAAATGGTAAATTTTACGTTAACTGAATATAAAGTAAAAGCCAAGTTAATTGTGTTATACCATTCATGTTTGTGTATTGTTTATTTGAATTTTTAACTTACGCGTACTATTTAACTATCAAATCCTCTTTTTCCAGGGTGGAGAAAATGATCAACATGTAAATATGTTGAGATTAAAACTTGTACAAAGCTATTATTTTTTATAGTTAAAATTTCAGTCGAGCTGCGTCGCCAGTTGCGCTAATACCTGCAAGCTAAACGAAAACGTGGTGAGTACATATGTATGTATGTAAAAGGGTCAATCATATCAAAATACTTATATACAAGGAAACGAGTATATGTATATATTGTATATATGTATGTATCTGTATTTGAAGAATTGGGTAAAATTGTTTTAAACTCTTTTAACTAGCTTACATTTTCCTTCATATGTTGACATATTTGAAATAAGCAAAAAAATTTTTTAGTTGCAAATTAAATGTTTGAAGTCGGTCGGGATTTTAGTGACTGCCATTTAAGACAGTTATTCTTTGACCCGAAGTAAACGATGTGTCATAAATTATTTATCAGTCTTCTTTATGGTATATCCATTACAAACGTATCCGTTACTTAAATTTCTGCAAGTCTTATTGTTGGTGGTGCTATGATTGCAGTAAAAGTCTGTAAATGTTGTGATACGATTTTTATAATCTTGTAACATTTCATTCCCAGTATAGTATTTTTGTTTTGCTTTTGTTTTGAAAGTTGGAAGATAATATATAATATATACATACATACACATACAAGTATAAATGATCTGAATGATGAGACGAGTTGAAACTTAAGATATCCTGATGAAATTTGGTAAACATGTTCTTTGGCACCTGTCTTTACACCGCGATATCTGAATTTGGTATCCCTGCAAAACTTATACGGCTGTGTAAGCTGACGTTGAGCAACAYCAAAAGCTCCGTCAGAATCGGGAAGGACCTCTCCGAGCCGTTCAATACCAAACGAGGTTTCAGACAAGGCGATTCCTTATCGTGCGACTTTTTCAACCTGCTTCTGGAGAAAATAGTTAGAGCTGCAGAACTAAATAGAGAAGGTACCATCTTCTATAAGAGTGTACAGCTGCTGGCGTATGCCGATGATATTGATATCATTGGCCTCAACACCC